GACAAACAATTCCTGCCTGTGTGTTTTGTGTGGAATTACAGCGTTCCCTGACCTGTTCTGAGCGTGGCCTGGCTGCTGTGTGCATAACAATGCCTTATTTATGTAACCAGAACATTTCCCTGCTCGCTATAATTAACTCGCTAATTAAGCTCCTTTAACTCGGGCCCTCCCCACTCTCTCCCTTTCCCCCCCAATGTCAGATGATTGCGTTAACGGAGCCTCGTTAGAAGGAAATTAACTAATGAGCGACTAAAACAACAGGGGCGTTTGTTGGATGGCAAAGTGCTTTTTAATTATTATTATTTTAATTATCCCTGCTCCTCGCTGTGTTCCCCCATGGCAACCAGGGCAGAGTTTGTCCTTGGAAGGGTCCAGACTCCAACACCCATCCCTGTGTTGTTCCAATCCTTTGGGAATTATGGAATTATGGAATTATGGAATTGTGGAATGGTTTGGGTTGGAAGGGACCTTAAATCCCATCAGTTCCACCCCACACCATCCCAGGCTGCTCCAACCTTGGACCCTTCCAGGGATGGAGCACCACAGATTCTCTGGGCAGGACATTGTGGGGTTTTTATGGGAATTATCCCAGGTAATAAATTATCAGGGATAAAACTCTTTGGATAACAAAACCAGAAATGAGAAATTAATTCTCATTAATTCTCTTAATGAGAATTAAAATTATTGTCCTGCACGGTGTCTGCTCGTCCCACAGCCCTTTAGGTGGGAAGAGATGATCCAAGGAAGGAAAAATGGGAAAAACGAGGGTGGTGGGGCTTTGAGGTCTCCTCCAACCCAACCCATCCCGTGATTCCACTCTGTGATTCCAAGGAAAAGGGGTCTGGGCAGCAGCAGGGCAACCACTGATTGTCCTCAGCACCAATTCCCACTGAACATGGAATAAAAAAGCTCCCCCAGCCCTGATTCTTTCTGATTTCCACCTGATTTACCTCAGGATCTGATCCTGCTCCTCAACAGTTGTCCCAAGGATGGAAAACACTGCCAGGGAAAATTCCTTCCCCAAAATGTTCCTTCTATGGCATTTCCATCTCCAGGGGAAACTTCAAGGAATCCACTAAAAGAGCAAAAATCCCTCAGCTACATGAACGCAACTGCTGGAGGAATGAATGGATGGGGGGAAAAAAGGAGGGGAAATCCCACAGAATTCCTGAGTTGTAAAATGACTGAAAAATGTGAAAAATGGAAATAGGAATTATTTCCAGTGTGGAAATATCTCAGGGAATAAGAACCTGGGATCAGCATTGCTTTTCTCACTTGATATTGCAGCCCAAGTTGTGTTTTCCAGGTAAATTTTTCATTTTCCACCTTATCCATGCAAAATCCTAAGGGACACATGACTTCAGCTCAGCTTAAGTCAACTCAAAGCCTTTATGGTAACACCATAAAATTTTATGGTAACACCAAAGCACAAACTCCTTTTCCAGCAGGTTTTCACACCAAGTGTCTTAAATCCAAAGGCTTTTCCTGGGAAAAAAAATCCCTTTTTTTTCCCTCAATGAAGGTTGAGTCTTAACACATTAAAATTAAGAACCAATATTCAATAAAAATGCTAAAAATAAAAGCATTTGCTTCATCTCCACCCCAGAGCTCAGGAATTCTTTTGTAATTTCTGTGTCAATCTGGGTCAGTCAAATAAAACCAGAGAGAACTACACTCAATCCCAGCAGATTGTTTTGTTCTGAGTGTCTTTAATTGATTCTTGGCCATGGATATTTTTTTTTTTTTTTTGGGAACAAGGGGGGGAAAACAAGAGTTTTCTGAGGGATTAAGCAGCACAAGCTCTCCAGCATTGCTGGAGGTCCAAATCCACCTGCCAAGAAGCTGGGAATTTAAATTTCTGCACGGAATGAGTTAAAATCCATTGTTTTATGGATGGAACAGCAGGACAAGAAGAACTGGCACTGCTCAATATCAAACTTCCTGGGAAAATGGAAGTGGAAAAACATCCCAGCCCAGGAGCACAAACCCCAAACAAGCAGGGTGGGANCTGTAATAGATCAATCCCAAGAACCCAAAGCCTTGAGCAGACACCGGCACCATCTCAGTCATGGCCCAGAGCACAATTCCTGTTATTTAACGGGGACTGGATATGGTAAATTGCCCATTTTGTTTAGTTTCAGTCCTTCCAGCCAAGATTAGAGATGTCACGCCAGGCTGTTGAATTTGGGAGCACAGATGGCTGGAGAACACAAGTTTTTAGGAGTACACAACAGAACGCCACCGGATCAGGAGCAGCCACAGAAGGGAAAATCCACACCAAACTCAATTTACAGCCAGGATTAACGCCCTGATCCCGGCGGGACGGGGGCTCTGCACACACACCAGGGTTTATGTTCTCCTCTGAGAAGCTGCTGGCCTGAAATAACTTCTCTTTTTTGTCCTTTTTCTTCCCTTAATTTAGAACAAATCCCTCCACGGCTGAGCAGCTCCATCACAGGAGGAGGTTATTGACGTCAAGCAGAGCTGGAGACACGCAGGGATTCTAACAAAGGGGGAAGAATTTGGGTTAAATTCACATTTTCCTCTCCTGCATCACCTCTTCAAGGACACTGAGCACAACTTTTCACACAGTCTTGGTAATGCAGAGCTCCCTGAGCCCTCACACATCCAAAACCAAGTAAAGAACGAAGCAAAAGAAGTCCTGAACTGATTCAGGCAGAATCAGAACCAGACTCAAATAATCCCTGTAAGGTTTAAACCCTTTAAACACTGCCACGAGCTGGGTTCAGCTTCAGCTGGGACAGCCAGGAAGTGAAGGAAGCACCAGGAAAGGGAAATTCGGGAAAGGGCCAGGTCAAGGCTCAGATCTGCTTTTGGCTTGTGTTGGCCAACACCCTTTGGGTTTAATCCTTTAGGATTAAAGGAGAGAGTGGGCAAAAAGGGAATTTCACAGGGTCCCAGAGTGGTTTGGGTTGGAAGGGACCTTAAGGATCATCCAGTTCCACAGGACACCTTCTGCTATGCCAGGCTGCTCCAAACCTGCCCAAACCCACAAGAGTCACGTTCCATCTGGGCTGGGAATGTTCCAGATGGGATGAAAAGAGAGATTTGGCTCGGTGGGCTCCCACCAAAACACCTCTGAAGGCAACAGCTTCAAGGAAAAGCTGTGGAGCCTTGAAGAGCTGCAGCTTTTTGGGCTCCTAAATCCAAAGAGCAATCTAAAGAAGCGACACAAGAGCTGCTGCTTCCCACTTCCAGCAGGAACAAACCTCACCTGCAGGGGCACAAGGGGTTAATGCAGGTGAGGTTTCACCTTTACATTCCAAATGAGCCCGCTGCTCATCTGACCTGGGGTTTCCATCACAAAGAGCCACCCTTGAGCTACGTTTGTGCAAAAAAGGTCTCCTTATCCAAGGTTTTCCTGGAAAACTTCCCTGTGCCGACCCCACCAAGCCCCGATTATCCAAGGTTTTCCTGGAAAACTTCCCTGTGCCGACCCCACCAACCCCAGAGCAACGTGTTTGCCTTGACTCTTCATTGCTTGGAAGGGAAAATTAAGGGAAGCTCTCCAGAAATTGGGATTTTCTCCAACCAAGGAGCTCCAGGAATATACGTGACTGGGCGGACACAGCGAGGAGAGGAGGAAGAAGAGCGAGGTAGCAGAGAAACGATCGCGCTTTTGAGGAGAAAAACCCCATTTCTGTGGTCCCCAAGAGGAGTGCCCTCACCTGGGCTTTCATGCCCGTTGGCTCCCCGTTGACGTTGTATTTCTTCTTGTTGGGCATGGCTGCCCGGGCACGGCTCCCTCCGAACGGAGCAGGGAATGCCCCGGTCCCGTTTATATCCTCACCCATCCCGATCCCGCCCGCTCCGGTTTCACCGTGCCAGGGGGGAGCCAAGGGAACCAGTTGGATTTTCAGACTCTTTTTTTTTTGTTGTTTTGGGTTTTTTTGTTTTTTTTTTTTTNCATCCATCCATCCATCCATCCATCCATCCATCTGCCATGTGGGAACTGAAGTCCTCCACCAGGAATGCCAGTCTTGCTCCTTTCATTAGCAGGAAATTGAACATTTGCAGGAGATAATTAACTGCAATTCTGATGTTAATTGCAAGGAGAGGAGCAGAATTCCCCAAAGTTGCTCCAGGTCCTTCCAGCTGTGACTTGGGAGCGACCGCGGTGACATCAGCCAGGATAAGCAGACTCAGAGTCTGCAGAAATTGTCCCAAACATTCCCAGGTGCTTTGGGATCAGCTGGAATTGTGGATTCCCAACAGAGCCCGGGCTGATGTGCCTCTGGAGAGAACGTGCCATGAGCATTCCTGAATTTCTCCCTTTTCCTTGGGAACAGTCAGTGCCTGCAGGATGGGTCACCCAGGGGGTGCCCAACCTTTGGGGGGCTCATCCCAACCTCTGGCAGAGACTTTGGGGGTTGCTCCAAGCCTGCAAACAGCACGAAGGAAGCAGCAAGCCGGGAGCTGGGAAGGGAATGAGGAACACTCAGCTTTCCCACAAAAACCAGGATGCAGCCTGGGGCTGTGGTGGCCAGGATCAGATCAGAACCTCCATCTTCTGGAGAGGAGCAGCTCTGCCAGGATCTGAGTGACCAGATTAGCACGGCTTCTCCAGCTCTGCCCTTCCAGACCTGCTGAGGAATGCCAAGAGCTCTCCACAGCCCAGCCCTGTCCCAGCTCGTCTCTGACATCCTCACATCGTGGGGATGAGTGGAGAAACACCATTCCAAGGAGAGTTCCCAGCTAGGAGGACTTCTGGCCACCAGCCATGAGCCATCAGGAGCAGCTGGAGCTGGAGTTTCCTGAAGGTTCCCAAACTTGCCAGAGCTGAATCAGAGCTTTGAAGCTCCCAGGCTGGGCTGGATGAGGCCTGGAGCAACCTGGGCTAGTGGAAAGTGTCCTTGACAGCAAGGGGGTGGAATGAGGTGGAATGAGCTCTAAGGTCCCTGAAACCACCCAGATTCTCCCCAAATACACTCTGAGCTGCCAAGCATCCCAAAAACCCATCCAGCAATATTCCAGCAGGAGAAACCCCTTCCAAGAGCCCTTCAAAGCCCTCAAAGACTCCAACCTCATGTGCAACAAACCCACAGTGGGATCCCTGTGGAATTTGTGATCTCAAGCAGGAATAAAGTGTGCAAACACTGTTTTCCTGAGGGGATCAGGACAGGGAGGAGAGGAGGGAGTGGAAGGGAAGCACACCGGGGTTATAAGGACAGGGAGGAGAGGAGGGAGAGGAAGGGAAGCACACCGGGGTTATAAGGAGAGAGCAGGAGAGCACCAGAATAATTCCATTTCCCACCCAGCTGTAGAGGACAATGAGGAAAAAGGCAAACCCGTATTTCCCTGCCTTCCCAGCGAGGCCTGGGCAGACTGGGAGAGGCCTGGACACACCTGAGCTGTAGCTGTCTGTCGAGGACTGCGAGATGGAGCGCGACAGCGAGCGGCGGCCGATCTTGGTGGGGCGCTTGTTGAACTCCTGCTTTTGGTCAGCAAACTGGATCTGTGGAAAGAAATCAGGG